TTCCCCTCGCTTCGCGTGGAAAGTTGCATCCTATCATAGGCACCCTTACCGGCGGGGTGCAGAAGCCCAGATAGACAGATATGCTGAACATAGCATGCAAACATTTTATGTATACTTTGTGATGCAATTAGAACAGCATAAAATTACAAGTAACTTTAAATATAGGTATTATGATGTCATATTGTTATCATATATTTGTGTATTTCACAATATAACAATATGCTGTACTTTGCTATAAACGCACAACTGCAATCATTATAGAAAATGTTTCTAGTATAAAATTATGTTGTAATTGTATTGTTACGTCCAGGGGAGTTCACGATTCTTTTCTTTCCCGTATCTGGTGCACACGTGCACGACTTCCAAAATCGTTAATGACAGTTAAATTGAAATGGGATTCTCAGTAAATGCTCCAAAATAACAGTCAGATATTAACGGGCTATAAAGAGTAGCATCTGGTTAACTAAGGCGCCAGTCAGTCAGACGAATTTGATATTTTTTGATCACTTAAAAACTCATAAAATCTAAAGAAGCTATAGAAAATAAAAGAAACTATTCATGAAACGCGAGTGACCGGATGTCGCGACACGTACCCGTTTTTATTTCAAGGGGGTAGTAAGTCATCCCTTGTCTTTAGCAGACGCATCCTGCAAAGCATAAATTACTACCACCTCCGATACTGAGAATCCTAAGTCCCCCGTTTTAGAAGATGCTCTCCTATTCGCGAACGAATGTAATAAAATTCTGACTTGTTACATTTGTTCTAAAATGCTCATAAGTAGGGGCAGGGAGGAGATCATGGAAATATAACGAGGGTTTCTATTCGTCAACTTCCCTTATTCCTCACGCTAGGAAAGGGTAATCCAAAACGATATATATGCGCGAACTTCGGACAAATCGACACTTATAAAAATATTCCTTAAGCCTTCGTAATATTCATTACTATCATTACTATCATTACTATATCGAGATTAACAGTATCGAGTCAGTGCAAATATCTTGTCATCTTCAAAACCAAGGGGGCCCAGCAGCAATTGCTATCAGCTTGTTCTCGTTTTCGACAAGTAATTAACAGTATCGAGTCAGCGCAAATATTTTGTCATCTTCGACGCCAAGGAGGCCCAGCAGCAATTACTATCAACTTGTTCTCGTTTTCTACAAATAGTAAGTCTTTTCTTTTATTTATGAAATTCCTCTCCTCCATCTACTTCCTTTACTTATTATAATTGCTTTTCTAGTGGAACCCGCTTTGAGGAAATCCACTAGAGCCCAAGCAAAGTGGCTCCAATACCGTCGCAATCGTCGTACCCGCCGACTATTGGCTTGGGCTGTGGCCGACCCTTCTTTCATACTAAATTTAAATGAAATAAACACGGATCTTCCCATCACCCGAATTTTCTTAAATAATATCCAAGGAGATACGCGAGACTCCTTATATCCGTCCCCTCAAACTTCTTCTCCTAATTACTCCCCGTATCTGCTTCCTGGAACCCTTGCTCCCAGTTACTCTCCCGTGTACACGGAAGCTGACCATCCGCCTGATTTCCCGCCGTTATCACCCTTTCCTCCCCCACGCACCGGTCCCAGATTCTCATCTCTTCTCTCTCCCCGCTCTTCTTCCCCCTATCTTCTCCGACATTGATCTTAGCGATCGGAACGTCACTGTAATTCTCGCCTTAATTTACCCTCCATACACGGACCCCATCCTTCTAGATCAATTCACCTTGGGCCCTGGCCCCATACACATTCCAACCCTTTTAAGGCCTTTCTCCGCATCGTTCCTTCCACTATTTCCATCCCCTGCTTTACTCCTTTCACCGATAAGCCCATCGCCCTTCCCATAGAATACTTCCGAGAAAGATATCCTCCCGATTTTGACCAGATTCCCTTCGTCTCGCATTCCCTTCTTCCCCCCCCCCCACACTTAATACTGTATTAGATCATAAAGAACTATAATCAAAATCTTTATATAATCTTTTTTTTTCTCATTATATAATGTACAATAAATTCAATTAAAATTCTTCTTTCGCATTCAACTCAATCGATTCCCCCTCATCACTCACGCTTCTAAATCGCACTTGGTCCCGTCCCGGGTAAAAAGGATTAAGTTCCTTTACCAAAAAGTGGACTGTCGAGCGGGCATTCGGACCAAAAATAGCATAAAATCGACCCTTGGTCGTTGACCTATCTTTGGCTCTCCCACAGGCTCGCTCGACCCGAGACACTTGTCCTTAAGGCACCTGTTCTCGGGATACAAATGTTACGCCCTTCCTTTGGCCCATCCTCCCTCGGGCCTGGACGTAACAGTATTATTTGTAGGAGCAATAATTGAAGCAAGCTATTTAACGAATGTTAATTTAGTATTATTGCATTGTAATGTATTTATGAGATAGTTGCGTTCTTATGTTATTTTAATTTTGTGTCATCATTTAGAAATACATAGCACTTTATTGACATAAAATATTGCATATTACAATTCAGTTATATTTTAGGCATTAGAAATAAATTTGTGTGTATACAAAATGCATACGCAAAATGTATTAGTTCGTTCATTTACCTCTACGCGACGTGCGATGCGCTATTATTCTCGTATTTAAATTTTAATTAGAAGAATTATATAAAGTTTGCAAAAAGTAACAAATAACATTAAAGATATACTGTCAATTTAATTTCTGATCTCAATGCTTCAGATATTAAGTTGATTTTATAAGTCGGACAAATAAATGAAATTAATAAACGAAAATAATTCGTTAATGAAATAAATAAACGAAAATAATTCGTTATCTATTTAAGATATTAACTGCAAATAAACGAAAATAATTCGATGTTAACTGCAAATAAACAAAAATAATTCATTATCTATTTACGATGTTAACTGCAATATGCAAGTATAAATATAAATAAAATTTTTATGTAAAATATTAAAATTTTTGTATAAAATTTTTGTATGAAATAGATAAATTATATTATTATTATTTCATTTTATTTAATTTTGTTAGGCCAAATGTTTTATATATTATAAAGGATACATAATGCCATCCATTTATATATAAGATAAATGATTATAACTTCGTCAGCGGATATAATTTTGTCAAGCCTTCTTATAATTAAATAAATTAAGCAATCTCGCATATACCGACTATATTTCCCGATTTGAAACAATTTGAACATCGGTTTCAAATTTTATCATCCCTTTCGTCGGGTAGCTACCCCTTCAAAAATCTTAAATGGCAATAAGGATCAAGTGGTATGTTATTTTAAAGGTCTTAAAAGGCTTTCGATTCTCTGTACAACTCGGCAAAGGGAGCGTAGAAGTGACCAATCAGCTGGCAACGTGGGAGTGGCTGATTGGTCGGAGGCTATGCTTCCCTTGCCCCGCGAAATGGACCGCGAAACAAATCGTTGTCACGGAGTGTACTCAAATGGCCCCTTCGAAAACAAAATTGATGTTTTTTTGCACTTCTCGCAAAAAATAGTCAATCATGAAATAAACGGCTGGAAAGTTTTAAAATGAATACTCTGTATATGCATGTATATATATATATATATATATATATATATATATATATATATGTATATATATATATATGTATATACACATACATATACATGCATGCGTGCGTGTATCCCAGGTAGAACATGAAATTCATCATTCATAATGACGTCATAATGACATCATTCATAATGACGTCATAATAACATCATTATGACGTCATCATAATTTTATTTATCACTTAAAAGTTATCTAAACAAAAATGATTAAAAAATGAGTTAAAGATGACAAAAAAAATCATAAATTTTTAAGTTCAATAATTGCATTATATAATTTTAAAAAGATTATGTTGCTTAAATATAATTAAAATATAAATAATTATATAAATATAAATAATTAAATAAACAAGTAATTGCGTAGTATATATAAAAAATGATATTAATAAGTCACCAAAACATTGCCAAAAGTATAATCAAATGAGATCATTATGTTTTTTCTAAAATGACTTTTAGGTGACGTCATAATGAGGTAATGTCATTATGAGTTTCATGTTCTACCTGGGATGTGTGTAATTGTCATCGACTTATAAAATGGACTGAGCGTTGCAATAGACAGGTGAGCGCCAGCTATAGAGAGAGAGAAACTACATAGGAAACCTATGTCTGTCTCTTTCGCAAGGATCTCATTGGTAATTTTCATCGATATATCGAAAAATCTACCAATGAAATGCTAGCAAGAGAGACAAAATAGGCCTTCTATATAGTATCTCTCTCTATAGCTCACCTGTCTATCGCAATGTTCAGACCATTTTATAAGTCGATAATAATTGTGCATACATTTTCAACGTTTTTTCCTCTCTCTCTCTCTCCCTCTCTCTCTCTCTCTCTCTCTCTCTCTCTCTCTCTCTCTCTCTCTCTCTCTCTCTCTCCTCTCCCCCCCCTCTCCCTCCCTCCCCCCTCTCTCACTCCACTCTTCGCATCATAATCCAAAAGCTAAATGTATTATTATAACATTATCCGACATACACTTTTTACGAATTCCATCATTTTCTATACTCTCTCACTCTCCACAGAATATTGAAATAAATAACATAATCCTCTCGGATCTTATCGTAATAACAGCATAAATAAGCATAAGGAATAGCAAAACAATCTTCTAATTATCTGCTCCAAATTAAGAACCTCTTTATAATATTTTCCATAAACTTTGGACTTGAGCGTATAAGGAGACAAATATATTACACAGCTATTTATCCCTTAACGCGTATTATCTTTATATTATAATAAAGTTGTACTTATAAAACAAGTATATATTAACGATATAAAAATAGATAATTGTCATATATATTCTCGCTGTTCTATCTCTTTAAAAAAAGAAAAAAAAATATATATATATAATTTAATGTTTTTATCGACAATAATGTCAAAGATTTTATTAAAATGATATATTGAGATTGAAATAATTATACCGCAGAACGATGCAAAAGGAATCTAAAAAGAAATATACATTTTTATAAAATATTCACTTGCCAAATATATTTGACAAGCTATGCTGTAAGGGCTTTATATTAATTAATCGAGAAATATTCGACATGTGTATACATACGCATAATAAAAAAAGCCATGAGTTTCAAGTATAACAAAGCAATTATTGACTTGCACAGATAAAACTATTCTTTATCTGTATTTTAAAGAGTAAATTATATGTAAAATCGTAGTATTATTATACAATATATGATTAACAACAATAAAATGTGAAATAATATGCACTAATAACAAATTTGCGAAATCACGAATAATAAATTTCAGTATCAATCATATTATTTTTAAAATATGATAAATTTCTCTCTCTCTCTTTTTTTGTTAATATTGTCTAAATTATATTAAAAATAGACAATAATATACGTATTTTATAAAGTTTTCCATGCATCAAATAACTTAAAAATTATATAAAAATACTCGTAGGTGCTTAATTTATATAATTATTTAGAAAAAAATAAAAGAGAAAGATATATTTGAGTGTCACAACAAATAATTTTAAAAAATTCTAATTATTAAATAGGTCGAATAAAAGCCCAAAGACCACCCTTTGCCGCAGCCAAGATGTGTGTAGCCACCATTTCCAAGGGTACACGAGTCTTCGGAGAAAGTTCGAGACTATATTTTCTTAGAAATACAGCCAAGCACGCTTTCATTTGTAACTGAGCCATTCTCATTCCCACGCAAATTCGCGGACCTTCGCCGAAGGGAAGAAAAGTGAATCTCTCAATGTTATGTTTTCTATCCGGGCCGAATCTGTCGGGATCGAATACTTCGGGATGCTCCCAATATCGAGGATCTTCCTGCAGGCCGTTAACAGGTATCAGAATTTGCATTCCGCGTTCAATGTGACAAGCAATTCCATCGGATCCTCTAAGTTCAGTCTCTTTTGTACAAATCTTCTTCAGAATTCCTATTGTAGGAATGATTCTCTGTGACTCGCTTATGACTTGATCCATGTACGTCATATCTTTCAAAGCATCGTAAGTAATCACATTATCGTACTTATTGAGCACAGATATTACTTCCTCGCGTAATTTTGCCTGTACAGCCGGATTATTAGCTAAATAAAAACCAACAAAGCTCAAAACTGTACTGGAAGTCTCATAACCGTCAATAAAAAATGATGTTGCATGAGATATAAGAACATTCATATCAATTTTATTACCCTCCACTCGTTCTAATTCATCCATCAACTGAAGAAAGTCATTTCTTCAGTTTGTATCCTTCAGTGTTTATCCTCTGTTCTTCTTTGTTCCATAACATCGGTGATTATCGTTCTAAAGAAATGATCGATTCTTTTTGGTAAGAAAGGTGTTCTAAAAATTTTATTCAGCGAAGGCAAAAAGAAAACAAGCATAAAAGTAATGTTGTTCAAACTGGAGGGTTCAAGGAAAGACTTTACCATCGCGTAGAAAGATTCGTGCTCTTTCTTCTCATCAAAGGATAATCCGTCTACGCCAAAGCCAGCATTGGAGACAACTTGCGCGGTGAATCTGGCAAACAGTTCTTTTAGCTCTAATTCGATCTTTCCGACTTTGCTCAATTTTTTATCAAGGAAATTCTCGAATTGTTCGCATATTTGCTTGACACTCTCGAGCAAAATTTTCAATCGCATGCTGGAGAATGCATAAGTCAAACGCTTTCTGCTAGTTATCCATTTCTCGCCATATGTAAAAAATGGATTGTTTGCCAGAAGAGGATCCAAGTCAGGGTCAATCTTATGACTGTTCTCATGAAAGTTCACAAAATTAGTTTGCATCACCGTTTTTATTAACTCCGGTTCAAGGATCATTAACGACGGTGACATAAAGTTGTAAATTCCTACCATACTATGATTTCGATTGGCGTTGTAAATCTTACGACAACACTCAGAGAAAGAGTTCTTCATGATAATGAAGTTCCAAAAGTGGCCGACTCCAGGTAAAATGCCATCCGGGCAAGGTACTTTACGTTTTTGCCAATAATTGTAATTTTTCGTTAAATAGAAATAGAGAATTACTAATACAACGAGAATCGAGGATATGAGCATGATAGCCATTGCTTCTTACAGAAGATACTGAACGATCGAGCATTTGACACAAGTCAACTACAACTGAGGATATAATCTATTAATACGCATGAAGCGCGTGTACTATCAGCGAGATAACAAGCAAATTGCGCATTAATGATACCGGGTGACGAAATAGTGTAATCTTAATATTATGTAATGTAATATAATCATATATTGCAATATTATGTAATGTAATATAATCATATATTGCACATTTAAAATATTATTTACTATTGTTAAAGTTTTACTAAAATTGTTCTTAATAAAATATAAATCTATTGTTGTTTTCTTTATCAATAAAAACCTAGTGATATTAATATTAAAACTCAGTTTAACCAAATTCTGAAATTCTTAATTTAACTAATAAAATTGTCTCCAAAATTTCTATTTATACAAAGAATTCATTTTAAAACTTTTCACCCGTTTATTTCATAACTGACTATTTTTTGTAAAAAATGCCAAAAAACGTCAATTTTTTCGCAAGGGACATTTAAGTACATTATATACAACGAAATTTTTTCATCCCCTTCGTCGAGGTAACTATCTGTTCAAAAATCTTAAATGGCAATAGATCAAGCAGTATATCATTTTAAAGATTTTTTTTTATTCTCTCTAACTCTCTCTTTTTTTATTTAAGTGAATAATAAAATGCATTGCATTAACAAAATACGTATATTACTTAATAGTCGTCAATTAAAATAAAATTAAAATTAATTCAAGAAAGAGAAAAAACTGACCCTACAATTATTATTAACTTACATTAATATTGATATTGCGATATTTCTTTTATGTTACCCTATATAAGAAGCCAGAATAAGTAATGAATAGGTAATTTAGATAATAGTCACTTTAGATAATAGCCAACAAATGTTAGTTATTATTCAATAAAAAAGTGATCTCTACATTCTATAATTCTTTCCATTGTATATGTCAAGTTAGATATAGATATATACAACTTATATGCAACAAAATGTTTAATAAAAAACATCCTTAAAAATAATTTACAGTAAAGTTCTCTCGAAAAAATCATTTTTCTAAAAAGTAAAATCTCAAAAAATAATTTTCCTAAAAAAATACTAAAAAATAAAATATTAAAATTAAATATGAAACTAATAATTACTATTAGTCAAGTACTTAAGAGCAATTTGTAAATTTGATATAATACTTGCCATGAAATATCAATCTTACATTGTAGAAATATTATACATAAATTCTCTCTAAGAAATTAAAACGTATTTTATTTAGAGGAACTTTTTAATTTCTAAAATCGGTACTAAGTGAGAATTAGCATTCTTTTAATTCCTAAAACACTTTTTATATAATGTATATAATTAAAAAATTGAAACACGTCTAATCAAACACAGACTAAACATTTAATTACATAATGTCTAAGATTTTATATTTTATTGGAGACATATTTGTTTGTAATGTAAACGATTCGAGCATGCCAAGTTTTTAACTGACTTCGATTTAAAGACTTGCATAAAATGTTTTTTTTCGCTTGATGATTGTATATTTGATAAATTCTTGCAAATTATCTCGTAAATTATTTTTTCCTTCGTACATATTATTTACACATTAACGTTGTTATTGCAATCAATAAATAAAATGATAATAGAATGTACAAAATTTCATAAAAGGCTTAAGGGACCAACGCAAAGGTAAAAGATGCGAAAATAAAAACGGTTATATTAGTATAATAACCTAATAAAACTTTTATTTAAATCAAGTGACAAACGCTGTGTTTCGACCCAATTCGGGTCCTTATCAATGTCAAATCGCAAAATCCAGTAAGCAAAAATAAAATTCAATATAACGGTCATTAATAATAAGTGACGGAAAGACGCAAAGCAAAATAAATAGTAATAAAAGAGTCAAATAAGTCAAAGTCAAATACGCAAATAACGGGCGAATTTAAACATACAAAAAGCGCAACGCAATGATGAGCAAACCCATGATCCAAATTCTTGGTGTGCCATGACAAAAACCATGTCGCTCCACCCTCGAAAAACGCACGCCGACAAGGAAACCCAGTCACAAGGTTCACAAACATATCATTAATACAAGGTCCACAAACATATCATTAATACAAGGCAGTCAAAGATGCCTAGGTCGATGATCAGCCAAAATGCAATGGAGCCTAATGTGTTCTGATTAAACCTTAATTAGGGTGGCATACTATAAAAGAGAAAAACAACAAAAAATGTGTAAACCCCCCTAAATGACATTAAAAACCCCCAAAAAAATAATACGGGAATCAATTTATCAAAATTTAAAAAATAAAAAAGTTATAAAGAATAAATTACAAAAGTAAGACAAAGAATAATACGATGTGAAACGATTAAAAATAGTTAAAAATGCGTACCCTTCCCTAAGATAAAGGTAAGTAGAATACGGAAATCCTTCGAGGAGAGAGCAATACAGGCATGACACAAACCCTCTAATCGACAGCGCCGGACTGAGAGATACGAAAACGCAAAGAGGTGACGCAAGATCCCAAAAAAAGAAAAGAGGGGGAAAGAGAGATATCCCCATCAGGATGAAGGATAAAGAAATGATGAAAGGTAACATTTCGAAGAAATCATTGTGAGAATTTCTTTATAATTGGCAAATATATCTTGTCAAGGAACTCCGTGTCATTCTGGACGTTGATACCGTGATTCTGATTAGAAATATGTAACATTTCTGCAATTAGTCTCTTTTTATATCCCGGTTCTTCTTTTAAAATGGAGATGTCCGCCCAGTCAAATTCATGACCTTCCATTCTATGAAGGGACACAACCGAGAGAGACCCCGATGTCTTATTGATATCAGAGCGGTGTTCCTTGATCCTAGTTATTAGTTTCCTCTTCGTCTGACCCACATAAGAAGCATCACAATTTAGACAGCTGATCTTATAAATGACATTAGAATGGTGGAGATCAGGTAAAGGATCCTTATGCAATCTGACGAGAGAATTCAGTTTGTTGTTCACAGAGTAAGCCAATCTTCTATTCGTATATTTCTTGATATTCGAAATGAAATTTCTGGGAAAACTTGAGGAAAAAAGAATGGTGAAAAAAGGAGAAAGAGTAGGAGAGGGGGGAGTATGGAGATGCAAGTCAACGTCATTGCTCTTAGTAAAAATTAAAAACTTGAGTCTTTGAGTAATCGTTTGAAAAATGAAATGTATCGGATAACCATTGTTCAATAAAATTGAGATGATAAAAGAAAAATTATCGTTATGAAAACGCGGATGTGAAAGTCTAAAAATCCTGTCAGTCAAGCCGATAACCACTCCTCTTTTATGTGACAGAGGGTGGTGTGAAAAAAAAGAGAGAAGTCTCCCTGAAAAAGTCGGTTTCCTGTACCAATTGAATTCAATGTAATTCTTGTTAATGATAATAGTAGTGTCCAAGAAATTTATACTACAATTATTAGAATATTCAATGGTAAAACTCAATCTGTTGTGAAGTGAATTAAACACCTGGAAAATGTGATGGATAAATTGTCTAGGAGCAGCAAGAACAATGTCGTAGACATAGCGTATGTAAAAAGGAAGAGAAACTGGGAGGGATGAAAGATAATAGAATGTGTCAATCTGTTTTCTTATTAGATAAAGTTAAGGTCATTTTCTTCAAGAAAGTCAAGTGATGCTTTTTTACGCCGTGATTATTATTATGTCGATAACAAATCTGCAAGTTGTACCGTATAAGATACATGTTTCAATAATAAATTTATATATACAGCATGTTTTTCAAAATAATTTCTCTTATCTATCATGTATATTAATTTTATAGTAAGTATTACTTTTCTATTTATTATATATGTATGTATATTGTAAAAATAATATTAATTATACAGGGTGTCAATTAAGTCCCGGGACGGCTGAATATTTTCTCATGTAAGGTATTTTTGAAAAAGGTCAAGGTCATTTCTGAAGTAATTTTCAACGAGGAATTCAACGGTGACCTTCAATTTGACCTTGAGCTTGACTTTCAAGGTTATTTGAAAGTCAAAGTGTTTTTTTTAAATAGGAACCCCTATTTTTGATTGTATATTCTTATAGCTGACCTCGAGAGCTTTCCAAAACACTATAATAAAATATTTTTTCCTCAAGCATTTATCGAGTTATGATGCTTCAAATCATTTCTTAATTTTACATAAACCGTAAAATATCTTGTAAAATATTCATTTTTCGATTATTTTACCTTAATACTTTTATGTACAAAATAATGAGAGGAATCAATTGGCGTAAAGAAAACATATAGTTGTTTTTAAGAAAAAATATGGAATTGTTAATTGCAAATTACATATTTTTTCTTAAAAACAACTATATGTTTTCTTTACGCCAATTGATTCCTCTCATTATTTTGTACATAAAAGTATTAAGGTAAAATAATCGAAAAGTGAATATTTTACAAGATATTTTACGGTTTATGTAAAATTAAGAAATGATTTGAAGCATCATAACTCGATAAATGCTTGAGGGAAAAATATTTTATTATAGTGTTTTGGAAAGCTCTCGAGGTCAGCTATAAGAATATACAATCAAAAATAGGGGTTCCTATTTTAAAAAAACACTTTGACCTTCAAATAACCTTGAAGGTCAAGCTCAAGATCAAATTGAAGGTCACCGTTGAATTCCTCGTTGAAAATTACTTCAGAAATGACCTTGACCTTTTTCAAAAATACCTTACATGAGAAAATATTCAGCCGTCCCGGGACTTAATTGACACCCTGTATATGTATATTGTAAAAATAATAATAATCTTATAATACATTATTTAACTTTAACTTTAATAAAAGATTAAAAATTGATTATATAATTGCAAAAACACATATGATATTTTATCATAATAAATATTCAATAATATGAATTTTATCATTCTATTAGCATATATACAGGGTGTAACCGAAAAAACGCCGGAATAAATAGCGTTATTCCTGATTAAAAATCGAATCGAAAAATCCTGAACCATTTTTTTCTATAATGCTTAATAAAACAGTAATTATTTAGTAAAGTTGCGCCAATAAGTACCGACTTTTAGCCTTCTTGTCGAA